TTGCTATTGCTATTGCTATTGGATCCACTGCCACGGAGAGGCCGTAAAGGCACAATCCGGTTTAGAGCCTCCGCCGCCGCTATATTCCAAGCAATGACTAAGGAGTCCGCCGGACTGTGGGCCAGAGAGTCAGGTATCTCACCAAGTTCTGTCTGAAATCCCATAGGGTCCATCAGGCACCTGGGGCGGAACCACCTAATTGGTTCCACCTCCCTACAGTGGGGGATTGGTTTCCGAAAGTCGAGCCTCACCAGGAAGTGATCTGACCATGACAGGGGTAAGATCTTAATACCCCTCAAACCTAGATCACATCTCCACTGCTCCGAGAGAAACACGAGGTTGAGCGTGTGACCCGCTGTATGAGTCGGACCCTTGAGTGAAGCTGTTATTCATTTTCTGTAGGTTACTTTTCCTACAAGGCACTTCTATGACTGAAAACTTGCATTTTCTAAGCATTAAAATATCAACAGCTCATGTTGCAATGAAGTTAGATAGTGACGGTGACGTTAATTAGTTCTTTTCTTCTATTCTTTATTTATTAAACTTACACACCATCCCTCTTGCTGGATATGACTCTAGACCAGTGGTTCTCAACCTTTTCAATGCTGTGACCCTTTAATACAGTTTCTCATATTGTGGTGACCCCCCAACCATAAAATTGGTGTCTTGGTTCCTAAGACCATCAAAAATATGTGTTTTCCGATGGTCTTAGGTGACCCCTGTGAAAGGGTCGTTCGACCCCCAAAGGGATCCTGACCCACAGGTTGAAAACCACTGCTCTAGATGACTTACAATTAAACACAATAAAAACATTAAATTGATAACTAGTAACATTAATTTAGCTTAACATTGATAAAGATTGGGGAGGAAGGGAGCAGCATGGGGGGGATGTCTTATCTTAGTCTATTAACCACTTCCAGAATGATGTACCCCAATTGGGCCCCCTAGGCCAGTTGGCAATGGCAGGTCTTATTTAACTATGACAATATACTGAAGACAAGAAATATTACCTATGATACTTCTAGATGGAACATTGGGATTTTTTTTCTCTTTTATTAATTACTAACTAAGTAAAGAAAAAAAAATCACAATTTAAATCATGAAGGATTAGAGAGATTAATAAGATCCATAAAGTTAGGTGAGATATGCATTTCTTTTGAAAGATTAAAAATATGGAGATTGAAATGTATAATTATTCTTCTATTTTATTTTCTATTTTAATTAATACCAACAACAGCCTTGGAAGAACAAACCTCAGAGTGAGCTTACTCTAAAATGCTGAAAAAATCTGTTATTTCTGTAAATGGTGCCCTCTGCCAGTAGGAGATCAGTGTATCTAGGAAGACACAACGGAAACATATTAATGTATTATTTGTTATCTTACAGAGTTATCATACTCTGTTTTAAGAGTGAATATAATCCATCAGATGGAATCCAATGGCAATATTTACAGTGCCAAGATTTGTTATCAACATTGTATCATCATACAAACATCAGCATGCTCAGCTTTTGAATTACTAAAACCACCTTGTTAAATCTTTTAAAACAAAACCCTACTATTAGTTTTTATACATGTTTGTTATCAATACATCAATTTTATTTGCCGATGTTAAGAAATAAATAAAGAATTTGAGGTTCCTGAATTGTCTAGAGGAATGATGACGAATCTTTTTCGCCTTGGGTGCCAAAAGCACACGCACGTGTGCTATCTCGTGCACTCGCATGCCCACCCCCATAATTTAATCCCCCCATGCCATACCCTCTGCACATGCACGCGTGATCCCCCCCGCTGCCCTGTGCATATGCGCATGGCTTTCTTGGAGCCTGGGGAGGGCGTTTTCGTTCCCCCTGAGACCCTCTAGAGGCCAGAAACAGTCTGTTTTCCGGCTTCCGGTGCGCCCAGTAGGTCCATTTTTCGCCCTTCCCAGGCTCCAGAGGCTTTCTAGAGCCTGGAAAGGGTGAAAAACAGCTCAAAATACAAACCGGAAGTTGGGGAACGGACCTCTGGGTTGCCCGTTGGGTAGTTTTTCACCCTCCAAACGCTTCAGGAGGCTTCCCTGAAGCCTCCAGAGGGTGAAAAACCAGCCAATATGCAAACTGGAACTCCGTCCCCGAACCTCCGGTTTGCGCGTTGGGCAGTTTTTCACCCTTCAGACCCTTCAGGGAAATCTCCAGAGGGTGAAAAACGGCTAAAAATCAGCTGACCAGCATGCACATGAGCGCTGGAGCTGACAGGGCAATGCTTCATGTGCCCTCAGAAATGGCTCTATGTGCCACACATTAGTAGAAAAAAAAAGATGCACATTGTTGCTTTAAAGCCACCCTCTGTTGTCTTGTAAACTAAGCAACTAAGAGATTTCTCCCAAGAGAACATAATCTTCAGCAGAAAAGTAAGAAAGCAGGTACAGATAGAGTTTACTGTTCACCTACCTTCTGAAACTGTTTTCATAATATGAAGAATACACATTAAGAGACTTCTTGTTTCTGCTTGATCTAATTTGTCAAAACGAATAGCCGATCCAATCAGAGACAATGGCCTTACAATCTGTTGTGGAAAAACATGGAGAGTCTTGATAAATCAATTTTACCTCCAAAATATACTTTATATACACACACCACTTTGGTTATATCTGTTTGGTCTAGTGGTTAAGGCACCAGGCTAGAAATCTCCTGCCTTAGACATGAAAGTTAGCTGATCAGTGTCTCTCTCAGTCACTCTCTCTCTGCCTAACTCTTCTCACAGAGTGTTATTGTGAAGAAAATAGGAAGAGGAAGGAATATATGCTTGGTGTCTTAAATATTTGTAAAAATAATAAAAGTGGGATATAAATAGATAAATAAAATAAACATAAAATAAAATAAAATAACTGTAGCACCATGTGAGCCAGAGGCAGCTGCATTAGAGAGTTGCCATCAAGTGCTGCATGAATGGCTCATATGCTCGGAATCATCTTTCCCCATTAAAATCTGAAGTACTGTGCTATCCTAGTTTGTAGAAATATATACCTTCTCACAGGCTTCATTTGTTTCACTGTTCTTTTCATTGGTACTCGGGTTAGAGTCAAGACTTCCTAGGGAACCTCTGGAGTCAGCATGGTTTGCTGCAGGAATAACTATTGATGAAAAAGCTGGAAACAAAAGCCACAACGAATGTGCTAAAATGATGCTTATGGACACGACAATTAAGCAGGATGAAAACCGAAGAACAGTATGTAACATTGACTAGACACTGTTAAGAAAAGCTACAGGTCAGTTAATGAAGATGTTGAATGGCTATGAGCTGAGTGCATGAAACACAGTAGACATATAACGACAAATGTGATGATACATATTTACATGCTATAGATAGTTTCAGACACATTCTCATACATGATGGACCAAAAGCCACAGGAGTAGAAACATTTATTGAGTATGCAATTAGTATTACATCTTGAAATGCATCCGTACAGTATACAATACAAACATTACTCTACTAATGAACTTTGTGAACTTTTGTGATACAAACAAATCTGTCTCTATCCCAAAGTTGGGAAAAGGCAGGAAAGATCCAGCTTCCAGTACATATCCAGGTATCCGTTGCACCAGAAACCAATCCTCTCTCATCCGCTCCTAACAGTGGTTAAATGCAGCACTGCAGGTTACTTCAGCTGACTGCAGTTCAGCAGTTCGGCTGTTCAAATCCCACNGAAGCTGAAGGCACCACCCTGAAGAAGGCGAGTGGGACCTCGTCGAAACGTCGCCAAGATACTCTCAACCTTACACAGGAAAAGACTCGAATATGCCAAGACCTGCATACCTATATCCGTGAAAATCTACAAATATATATATGTATGTATGTGTGTGTGTGTATACACACACACACAGGCACACACACACACTATTTTAAATTTTAATTCTGAATAAATTATACAGATAAAATATATTATTTTTATTTTTTTAAAATCCTATTTATGTGTATTCGTTCTTATAAACGTGTTTTTTTTAAATACATTTTTGCATATTTAAGAATGATTGAAAGCAAGAAGGGATTATTTATATGTGCCAAAGAATATTTCCCTGGGTCCACAAATGCTCAGTTATTGTGTGTAGGTTTATTGTAATTTTTGCTAATTTAGCACGGGTAGAGAATCTATTTATAGCACTGACAGTTGAAACCTATGCATATATTCTGGTTTTCTGACTATATTCAATCATGAAGCCTATGGTTGTTCAGATTTGCTGTAAGATTTACATTTCAATGAATTAATGTACATGATTATCAATAAATAATAGGATGCTAATTAATCAACCTAATTTTTATCATTTTATAAATTACATGCAAAGGAAGAATTTATGGTAATGAATACAGATATGAGAACTACATTAGAGTTATTGCTTTTATGTCTAATTTTTATGCTAAAATGATAGAATTAAGTTGTCTTAATCAAATACAACAGCTGGCCTTCACTCTTAATGTTCCATAACAACTGAACAAGCATAAATGACAAGAACATGGATGAGATCATAAAAAGAATATTTATCCATATGCAAAAGCATAAAATTCACAAGAATACACAACATAATCTAGGAAAACATGAAATACTTTTCTATAGATATTGAGATCTGGTAAATGTTTTCTCTGTGTATATATAAAGCTGAATAACGAGACAACAAAACATAATAGCTATCATTATCTCACATTATTTACATAACATTGAATAGAGAATGCAATTTCATTAAGTACTACAATAGTCTCGTTAAATGTTCAGCTACAAAGTCTCCCTTTATACTTACTTGGAATTGTACTATCTATCATCTGTAGGAGTTTATGATTGGAAAGGGCATTTTTCCCACGGATTATTGGTAAAGTTTGGGATCTATGATGCTTGTGAACCTCACTGCTTGAAGCAGAATGTCCCCTGCAAAATGACAAGACGGTGTTTCAGGTTTATCCCAAAGCTTTTCCAAATCTTAGTTTAGACAGATCTTTTTTCCTGCATCATTTCCAGACATGAATATTTCTAAGTAAATAGTAGATAGGATTTAAAGCTTATTACACAATATATGGATGGAATTATACTAAGCCTTGCTAAAAAAAAAGTTAACTAGATAGAAATTGTTCACATGTTAGTGCAGCGATGGCAAACCTTTTTTGCCTTGTGTGCCAGAAGAGGTGGAAGTGCAGAGGGGTCGTGCGCAGGTATGCCGCACCCATAATGCAATGAGCAACACTCCCAGCGTGAATGCGTGCATGACATGCACGACCCGCATTTTTTGCATGCTTTTTTCGCCCTCTGCAGGCTCCAGATGCTTTATAGGAGCCTGGGGAGGGCGAAAACAGCATCCCCTGTCCCCCAGGAGACCCTCCGGAGGCTTCAGGAGTTTCAACTGCCCCCCCGGAGGCCCTCCATAGGCTTCAGAAACTTCCCTGAAGGCTCCAGAGGACAAAAAAACGACCCTACGAGCAAAACCGGAAGTGACTTCCGGTTTGCTCATAGGGCCGTTTTTAGTCCTCCGGAGCCTTCAGAGACATTTAGGAGCTTCCCTGAAGCCTCAGGAGTACTAAAAATGACCCTACAAGCAAACCGGAAGTGACTTCCAGTTTGCTTGTAGGGCCATTTTTTGTCCTCCGAAGGCTTCAGAGACCTTCCAGAGGCTTCCCCGAAGTCACTTCCGGTTTGTCCATTGGGTCATTTTCGTCCTCTGGAGGCTTCAGGAAGCCTCCGGAAGGCCCCCGACGGCTCCGGAGGGCTTAAACCGGCCCTACAGGCAAACCTGAAGTTTGGGAACGGCTTGTGTGCCCTGACAAATGGCTCTGTGTGCTACCTGTGGCATGTGTGCCATAGATTCGCCATCCTAGTGTTAGTGGAGCAAAGCTCTACCAAGTCAGTGATATGCCTATCAAAAGTCTTGTAGGTATACCAAGGGATCCTTTTGAGAAGTAGAGAGCTAGCTCCTCGTATCTTAGGGGAATAAAAAAATTCTTTTTACTCTTCTCAATTAGATCCAATGGCAATGATGAAATGATAGTCTGGGATTCGTAGTTATGTAGAAGGCATAAGATATCTAGAAAGCTAAATTATTAAAAGACATATTTGGCACCATGAGGTATAATTAGAAATTTCAACATGGGCTTTTAAAAAAGACCTATTTTGGTGGGAACTTCGAAGGTCACATTTAAGAAAATTGCCTGGCATGTTTACAAATAAAATGCAAAGTGTTATATTTTGGGTATATATCTCTTAACATCTTAATAAAAATACAATTGGGCCATTAATATTTAACCTCATAGATTTTTAAAGTAAGAATCTCTCATGCTCTTATAAGATGGATTGGCAATAATGTTTTAAGAGTTTATTCTAGTGATTTTTTACAGTGAAGTAATAGTGGAAATTTGACACACTGCAGCTGCTATGTTTTTGTTATAGTGAGACTTGATACTGATGATTAGATGAAGCAATTACAATGCATCATTAGGGAAAGCTTCCTTCTCCCTTCCCCCCATGTCTAGCCGTAAAATGAAATCAGTGATTATTTTGATTTGCAGAGCAAGGCAATGCATTATTTTTTACTCCTGCTGCTTTGAATTCATCCATATGTCATGACACAAGGAAATTATATTGGCAACTGTTGTTTATACATTAACTGCCGCTGAACTAACTAATTTTTGTAAGAATTAAATATCAGAGTACACACACAACTGAATCAAAAAGCTCACTTTCTCACATCTGATTTCAACATATCAAAAAGTCTAGCACATGAGTTTTACTTATGATTTTGGACACATATTTTTTTCACATTTTAGGGGAGAAAGAACCTTTTAATAATAATATCAATATCATCATTAGCATCTACCTGTTGCTGAATCCTTCCAGATTCTCAATGATGTATAACAACGGTATAGGTACCCTTTGTTGGGCCATCATGTCTGGTTTTTTTATCAACCCTCCATTTATTTTATTAAATCTTACCACTGTGGTAGAAGCCCGGAGGTTTGACAAGATGAACTGGAGCCTTTCAATGTTCCATTATTCCGAGTGGTCTGAGCAAACTTAACTGCAGCAGCAATTTTCCTGATAAAAGAGAATAAAATAAAAAACTTTATTGTAATATCATTTATTACTATAAATATTGGGAAAATTTATCAGAAAAGGTCTATCCTATTACTGGTATCACATTTATACAGTATCAGTCATATTCTATTGTCAGAAAACAGGTTTCATAGCTTAGAATTCTTATGAAAACTTTATACTAGGATTTACAAACACAATCCATATGATTTATCTTATTACTAAACTTCCATTAAAGTCTATTATGTTTTCTATTTGTAGCCTATTCTTATGTAAAGGTTTATGCACACCTAGTGAAAATTCACAAAAATCATTTTTTTATGATCTAGGATTCATTGTAATTCATAACCATGCTCATCTAGATTCAATACACACACATACTAAATTTTCTTGCAGTTACCCTTTAAATTCCACATATCCTTCAAACATTTTGCTACTTGTTTGATGAATAACACATTACCTTACTATATTTCGTTTTCCTAGGTATCTGAAATTCTGAAGGCAAACCCTAAAAGATAAAAAGATGGAATAATCTCAAATGGTTTTCATTCACAGCATTAATTTACTTCTCTCACAAAACATCACAGCTAGATTTTGGTACAATCCTGATGAGAATTCTATTAGCAAAATCATTCATGTAAATGATCACAATCATGCTAGTTTCATGCAGCAACTGTTCTTTCTACCCCTTTCCCATAAAAACCAAACTTCACTATTGCATTTAGCAGACAGATATTTGCTTTATAAATAGTTTATAGATTTCCCAACAATGAAAAGAAATGCCTTTCCAAACTCCCATTGTGTGTTTTGTTAAATTGTTCTTGTACAATATCAAAAGTGATTGCATGAAAACTGTCCACTCATAATAGAAAAGCTAAAGACACTATCTGGAATACCCTTTGAACTTTGAACTTTAATAAGATTTGTATGCCGCCCACTCCCTTGGGACTCTGGGTGGCTCACAACAAAGTAAAAACATTTAAAATATTTAAAAAATACAATATTAAAAATTAATACAACATCCATTCCATCAGGTGGGGCTGGAAATTAATCAACAGCCCCAGGCCTGCCGGAACAGC